TGAATGCCAATGCTTTAACTCTCTGTTTTTTCCTGAATGACTATTTAACTTAGCAGTTATTTAAAATTTGGAATGTCCCTTATATCTAAAGCATGCATAATAGCTAAGTGTGATATCCAAAAGAATGCTTTTCAAAAATCAGATTCTGGCTATCAAGCAGAAAAAGAGAGATCAGCTAAATATTAAGCTTTATTAACAATATTGAGTAATGAATAGCCATTAATATTTATTTAATGCTCCCTCAATACTGGACTTTGTACTACCCATTAGACCTATGAGGTGGCTTCAAAAGTTTGTGGGAAAATTCCATTATCTTTGGATTCCATTCTACCATGAATATTTGGAACCTCTTCATATTGATCTTTTCCATTTCTCCCAACACCACTGTGAAGCAGGGGCTTCTGTTTTTCCTGGTGGGTGAATGAGGAAAGGGAAGCCTATACAGGTTAGTTACTGGCTCACACAACTGCTAAATGATGGTGCAAGCATATGGATATAAACAGGAGAGTTAATAATAGGATTGTGTAAGAGTTGATGTGGCAACCATGTATTATGTGGAATGAATGTATTTGTTATGCAAATCTCAATCCACATGAAATAAAATTATTTTCCCAGTAGCAAACAAACCCTCACCTGGCATCCCGATTCCAGCTCCTAATGCCCCTGTAAAGGGTTTTTGAAGCTACAAATCTTTAGGCTACAGAGAGCCTCATGTTTCTCTGGCCTAGTAGCTGGTGGGTTTGAACTGCTGACCTGTGTGGTAGCAGCCCAAGCCAAACAAACCCACAGTGACTAATAGTAGTGCCACGAGGACTACTGGTAGTAGCTGATTATCCGTTATCTCATTCCAAAGAAAGAGAATAAAGTTGGCAATTTCTCTTTCATGGGAACCATGCTCTGATGTTAGCTAAATGTTAGCTAACTTTCTAATAGACTCTGACCATGATTTCCTATGAGTTAGTGAATTGGTCATGTCTGTCTCCCCCCAGACCTTTCCCCATCAGCTCTCTTGTGTGTGTGCACAGACAGACCTCCTCGGAGGTGTGGGTTCAGCTCCCGACCACTGCCGTAAAGTAAAGATCACAGTACAGCTAATCACACACACACATTTGGTTCCCAGGGCTTAGACACTGTCTGTTTCCACCATTGAGGAGCCCTGGCGGGGCTGCCAGGTAAGCGTTGTACAGCTAACCACAAAGAAGAGGCCGTCCCGCTCTGGTAAAGATTTGCAGCTTCAAAAACCATTTATCGAGTCATGATGAGTCAGAGTCTACTCAGGAGCAGGTGGGTGGGTGTTTTGGGTTTAGTAAGTCTATAAATTGTGCAATAAACCAAAAGACAAAACAAATCATTTACCTCGGTGCCATAGAGTCATTTCCGACTCATAACAACCCTATTGGAAAATCTAAGACTGGAAACATGTATGTGAGTAGAAAGCCTCGCCTTTCTTTGGCAGAGAGGCTGCTGATTTCGAATTGCTGACTTTGCTGTTAAGAGTCCCATGCTTAACCCACTGAGCTGCTGCCACAGAGCCTTTAAGTGTGCAATACCCCAAGCCAAACTCGCGGCCATGGCGTCCATTCTGACTCAGTGACAGGGTAGGACTGCCCCTGTGGGTTTCTGAGACAGCAACTCTTTATCTTTACTGGAGTAAAAGTCCCAAAGCAAGCCGGTGTGAAATCTATATAAGGTGACCAGGTGACCAGATTTAAAGCGGGACACCATTGACAGGGTGTGTGTGGGGGGGGTGTTCTTGATTGAAAATTTGGTCTATATGGGCCAAATAGACTGTTCCCTAGCTTGTCGTGCATTCTTTCCAAAAACAGGGACTTTTTAAAAATGCCAAAAATTGGGACTGTCCCGCCAAAAGCGGGACGTCTGGTCACCTTAATCTCTACAGCTGTGCAAAATCAATCAATCAATCAATCAGGTGGAGGGAGGGGTGTTGACAGACATTGCTAAGGCATTCACAAAAGAGGATTCAGTAGTGTGCTACTCACTACCATTGGCATCCAGCTGGGCTTGGCAAATCCCTTAACATCCCTGGGGTGTAAATCATGCCGTCCTTGATGAGTTAACAGTCCTCTCTCTCTCCCATCCAGGATCACTCAGCAGAGGTGGCAAACAAGAGGGGAGAAGTGAAGAGCCTGCAGGGCCACCTGGCCAAGCTGGCTAGTCTGGGCCACACCGAGGACCTACACCTCCTCCAGGGCAAGGTGGAGGACTGCTTCCAGCTGTTTGAGGAGGCCTGCCAGGTAGTGGAGAGGCGGCAGCAGGCCCTGGGTCAGTTGGCAGAATTCCTGCAGAGCCATGCCTCTCTGTCAGGGGTTGTGCACCGGCTGAGGCAGACTGTGGAAGCTACCAGCAGTATGAATAAGAAACAGTCCGATTTGTTAGAGAGGGACCTCAGTGGTGCCATTCGGGATGCTAAGACGTTAGAGTCGGCTGCCGTCAGTATGGACGGGGTTCTTGCCAAAGCCCAATACCACCTGAGGAGCGGGGGCTCTGAGCACAGAACTGCCTGCAGAGCCATGGCTGACCAGCTCTGTTTGGAATTAGAGAGGGTTCAGAACCTTCTGGGGACCAAGCAGAGTGAAGCAGATGCACTGGCGGTGCTGAAAAAGGCCTTCTTGGACCAGAAGGAGGAGCTGCTGAAAAGCATCGAGGACATTGAAGAAAGGACTGACAGAGAGCGACTGAAAGAGCCGACGAGGCAAGCTCTTCAACAGAGGTAACAGGATGCTGTGTGACTACCAGGGGTCTCCTTCATTTGTTCTGGAATGAACATTCAAGTACAACTGTCAATGGTATGTGTTAGTTCTGGGTAGACTGGAGAAACATTCATAGACACTCATATATGTATAAGAAAGAGCTTTATATCAAAGAGTAATTGTATATTAAAAAACATTCCAGCCCAGTGTAGATGAAGCCCATAAGTCCGACATTAGCCCATATGTCTGATACCAGTCTATAAATTCCTCTTCAGACTCATGCAACACATGCAATGATACTTAATGCAGGAAGATCACAGGCCACTGGGTGGAAAGTCTTGTGGATCCAGTGGCGGTAGAAGCATCTCTGCACTGGCATGGATCTACTTGTGGCTCCTCCAGCTCCAGAGCTCTGGCTCCATGAGCAGCATAGTTTCATGTGTCTTGTCAACAGGAATGTCTCCCAGGCAGAGTGTGTTTCCCACCTCCAAGGAGGAAGACAGGAGTTCCCAGAATTCTCAGGAGAAGGCCATGCCCACGCATTGCCCTCATTGGCTATAAGCTGATTGACAGGCTAGACTCCACCCCTTCGCAAGTTGACAGGAGATTATGTTACTGCCACAAGTACCATAGGCTGCGGCTTCCTTTCCTAATTCCTGAAGATCAAACGGTGACTGATTTGACACTCGAAGTGATAAAATGTCTTTGCTATGTAAGAGTACGCTGGTGGCATGCTGGTTAAGTGCTTGGTGACTAACCCAAAGGTCAGCAGTTAGAACTCACCAGTGGCTTCTCCAGGAGGAAAGACCTGGGATGTGACTCCAGTCAGACCCTTTAGGGCTGCTCTCCTCTTCCCTGTGCACAGGGTCACTGTGAGTCAGAAGAGACCTGAGAGCACACAGCCCTCTCAGCTAGGTGAGGTAGATGACGAGCCACTCACTGGTATTCCAAACCAGAAGCTATAGATGATAGTGTCTATATAAACAACTGTTAACCCCCATGTCAGCTGTTCAAAACCACCAGTCCCTCCTTGGGAGAAAGAAGAGGTTTTCTCCTGTGAAGATTCAGAGTCTTGGATCCCTAACTATCACAGTGCTGCTGGAAGGTGCTGCTATTTTGAGCTCATTGCAACCCCAGGGGAAAGAGTCGAACTTCCCTGCAGTGGTTTCCAGGCTGCAGTCTCGACTGAAGCAGATTGTCAGGACTTTCTCCTGCGAGGCTGTTAGGGGAGGTTTGAACTGCCAACCTCTCAGTTAGCAGCCAAGCACTTAGCCTCTTGCACCACTGGGACTCATAATCCTATGACAATGAGTTATGATGGAGCCGACGATTGGGCTCCTGAGGTTATATCCCTCTGGGAAGGTTAGCAAAACATTCACCAGAGGAAAGGGGATTTGGGAAGGAATAAAGCCTGTGGAAGGAAGCTTGAGAAGTTGATCTAGCAGAGGGGACCCCAGGCATAGCCTTGGTAACTGTGGGCTATGGCTGAACGAGGCTGAAATCATTGGAGAAGGTGGACAGGGCTGGCTTAAGACCATCCAGCAGTGTCCCTAACACTGAGTCCACCTAAGTCACCCAGCAAGGGACAGAAGACGTGGCAGCCATACCCTGCAACCTGGGGCATGTCACCTCTTCACTTGGAAGGTGGGGCTATGGATGGCACCTGTCCCCAGCCTCTCGGTCGTAGGAATTGAACGGGGTGCTGCATACTACTCTACAGCGCTATCCCACAACGCAAGGAATGAGAGGCAAGCCTCTGGGTGGCCCCTTTTCCCAAATGCTCCACCATGAATTCTGATGCACCCCGTGTGATCATCTTTAGAGTCGTCTTCGAAGCAATGAAGTAGTACCTTTAGCGTACGTTTTTCCTTGTGGAACTCCATCAGCACAGCCATTATTTTTAACGAAGCAGCTATGATTCTTAAGCTACCATTGCTTTACAAAAAGTAGATAGCTTACCCATGACCTCTGCAGTTAGCACTCACCTTGTAGTTGACAAGGCCAGGCCTCTTGCTAGAAATCTCATGCCATCAAAGCAAAGCAGCACGAGAATGCAAATGTGAAAGGAGGGGGAGGGGGAGGAGGAAGAGCCCCTTTCGTTGTTTTCTGAGCTGCAGTCTATAGTGCTCCGCAAAGTTCATGTATGTATGGATTGTGATAAGAGTTGTATGAACCCCCAATATAATGATTTATATGTATTTTTTTTTGGTGGAAAAATACATGCAACCACAATGTAATAAAATTGTGCAATTGAAAAAAAAAACCCAACCTGTCTCTCCATGAATACACCTCATAATTGCTGGGCCCAAGTGTGTCTAGCTGTCTCTGCTCGTGTTCTGTGGACTCCCTGTGCGTTTATGGAGAGGACATATGTGTCTGCTATCTTTCATAAGCTAACGGGACATTTTAATTCACAGGTTGAGAGTCTTTAATCAGCTTGAGGATGAACTGAATTCACACGAGCACGCATTAAGTTGGCTGAAAGACAAAGCAAAACAGATCGCCCAGAAAGATCTAGCTTTTGCCCCTGAAGTGGACAAGGAGGTCAACCGATTAGAAGCCACCTGGGATGACACCAAAAAATTAATTCACGAAAAGTAAGTCAACGTGTCCCAGCCCTTGGTGCGTGACAGCGGGCTATTGTCACTGTGTGACAAGGGGCCATTGGTTGTTGATTTGAGCGGGAGAGATCAAGAACTGGCTCTCTTCCCAGGTTAGGTCTTCTGTCCGCTTCAGTCATGTCGTGTGGAACAGTTTTGAGGTTGGGTGCTCGAGACAAGCAGCACCTGTGAACTGATGTTTAAAAGCAGGGTCAGCAATTCCAAGTACTCGAAGTCAGAACCTCTCATTTTCTTTCGCTGTTGCTTTGCTTTTTGTTGAAATACATAAAGGGCCTCCTTTTGTGTGAGGGCATCGCTGTGGATTTTGACCAATCAGACAGCTTCACAATCTCAAAACTCCCTCCTACCTCCTAGCAGTCAGTCCCTGTCCCCCTGGCAGCCCCGACAGCCCTCCACCAGTTCCCCGCCCTGCTGGTTTTGTGTTTTTCTGAATGACGTATAAATCCAGAAGGCAATCCTCTGCGTCTGGCTTCATGGAGAGTTCCCACTTCCTAATCGTTGAAGAGAGTCCCGTTGGATGGAGGTCCCACAGGTTAGCCGTTCTCCCGTTGGTAGACATGGGTTCTTTCCACTTTGAGCAGCTGTACATCGAGCATCCATAAATAGGCACATGGAGGCTTGAGTGTGAACGGATTTGTCTTCCACTCGAGTAAATACACAGACATGGAACGGCTGCCATTTACGGGGTTTGCTTAGCTCGAGAAGAATCTGAAAAACTTTTCTAAAGTGCTCCAACATTCTGCATTCACACCTGCCACATGAAACTGCATGTGGCTTCTCACGTGGTTGCCAGCACTTAGCGTTGTCAGACTTTCATCCATTTGTTAGTGGTGTGGGCCTTTTTGAGAGCGCGGTTTATAATAGAGGACAGGAAGGCAAGCTTTTGAAAGAAACGGGCCATCTTGCCCACACTGTCCCCCATATCCTAATATATTCTCACATGTGATTTTGTGGAGGATGCATAGTATTCTATTCAATGAGTATATCAAAATGTATCTGATGATAGGTCTACTTTTCACATTTATGCCACTTCTATTTTTTGCCTTCTGAATAATGCTGGGTTTAACATATTTTTACCTAAATCTTTAAAAAACAAAATGAATCGCACTCAATGTCATCGATTCGATTCCGATTTATAGAAACCTAAATTGTACTGCATTTTCACCTCCTTTGGAAGCATTTCTAGACGTCAAGTAGCTTGGTCAAAGGTGTGTTGCATTTATAAACAAACTCTTATCTCCTTATTTTGGTATTTTTGGGAGATTGGTATTTAGTGGAAATTTATGATACTTGGAGATGGAGGGGAAAAAAAAGAAAAAAATCCTAAGTATTTGTATGGAGTTGATTTAAAATTTCCCCCCATTCTCCACAATCGTGACACGATGGAGTAATTAAAGCAGCATATTAAAAAGCATATAGATTTGGTTGATCCATCTGAAGGCGTTTGTGTTGACAAGAACATAAGTAGCTTCTTTGTTGCGGGCGCCAATCGGTTCTGTGTAAATGGATGCGTGCGTGCCTCAGCCGGAGAGATCAGTTTGCACATTAGAGTTCCATCAGATCGCCTTGCAGGATTGTGGTCGCAGGAAGTGAGATGTGATTTCCTTGATTCTGGCCTCCATCTGTGAATACATTTATGCAGTGCTATCCGAGCCTTTCCCGAGACAGGGGAGTAAAGGATGTGTTTAATTGGTACAGCCAGGGCCAGTGCTGCGGACTCATTGACGTAATGAGAGAATATCAGAACTTGAAGGCCGCTGTTTCCAAAGTCCTAGAAAGTGCCAGCAGTGTGCTCGGAGCCAGAACCACACTCAGAGACCAAGAGGACCTAACACGGGCTTTGTCTAAGGTAATCATTTAAACGTCTTTTATTTCGGTAGACTATCTTTTAGTACATCTGTTTGGTTTTTACCCATAATGAAGTTCTCTGCTTAGCTCTTCCTGTCAGTATATGAAGATATGGATAATTCATGCTGATGGCCTTTTTAAAAAAGTTTCCCCAGAAATCCCGATATCCTATGATTCTACCACTGAAAGAAAATCTGTTTTATACTTATGTTATATCACTAGGCTTATGTGATTTACACCCACACACATATATAAATGTAGACATAAATGTAAACACAAACTTAAATATAAATATGACTTCATAATGTTCCTCCCGGAAAAATTCCGTTACCGTAATTCCATTGTCTTGTGAACACGTTGCAGCCCCCCTGTATTATATATATGAGGTGCTTGCATTGTTGATTAATATCACGACCTTCTCCAAGAAGTCAACTGGGAGTTCAATTCCTCAGCAGCCAGCATTGTTCAATTCCTCCCTTATCACTGACTCTCTCATTAAGACAGCCTTGATGTTTATCCACAGCATGAAGCGGCCAGGAACAGAATGAACGAGCAGCAGAAAGCGCTGGATCACTTTTCCAGCAAAGGAAAGCACTTGCTGTCGGAGCTGAAGAAAATCCACAGCGGTGACTTCACCCTGGTGAAAACCGACCTGGAGGGCGTGGTGGACAAGTGGCTGGATGTGAGGACACTCACCAGGGGGTTCCGCGGCCATTTGAATACTAAGTTTCTCAATCTGCTCTTGAGCAAGATGCTAAGATGTGGATTCCATCTCTAACTTTTCATGCTTTGTGCAAAATGATACTTTGAAGAAAAGCAGGATCCACATAATATTTATTAAAACCAGCTGTCATCCAGTTAATTCTGACCCATCCAGATGCTCTAAACCTTAGAGTCCAAGGGTACCGGAGGCTAAAAATCTTTACTGTGACAGACACCTCCCCTCTCTCCCAAGGAGAGGCCTGCGACCTTGGAGTTAGTTGTCTGATACCTAACCCGCCGTGCTGATAGAGCTCCTTCCAACTCTATGGCTAATGGGTTTGAACCTCTGACTTCATGGCCCAGCCTTTCAGATGACAGTGCCACCAGCACCCCTTAAAGATAAGAGGTCATGGGAGGAAATGATATATGCATCATTTTGGGAAAATTTACTAGCAGATTTTCTAGACTCGAACTTGCTAGCTCCATTCCTAATGACAACGCTAAATGTTTTCATTTATGATCTTGTTTGAATGGTGAATAGAATGGAAGACCAGTTTATAAATATACTGCAGGAGACTAAGCCTTCATATATAATCATGTAAAGACACAAGGGCTCTGCGCGGGAAAACATGAGACCTGTAGTCTACAGGCTGGGGTTTGGGGGCCGGCTCTGTCGCTAGCTCTGCAAACATGAAAAAGAAATCAAAGCCAAGCTCACCACCTTTGCGCTGATTCCAACTTTACCCCTCTCGGTAGGATTTCAGAGGCTGTAAATTGTTACGAGGTAGCTAGCTGTAACTTTCTTTCAAAGAAAGGTTAGTGCCCTTGAATTAGTAGCCCAATCCCTAAGCCGAAGCTTCTGTTTGATTCCTTCTAAATGTTATATTTCCACCCATGGATGCTTTTAAAATCATTTTGGGGGGGGGTGGTTCATACAGCCCTTATCACAATCCATACATACATCAATTGTATAAAGCACATTTGTACATTCCTTACCCTCATCATTCTCAAAACACTTGCTCTCCACTTAAGCCCCTGTCATCA